TTGTAGGTGGACATGATGCTATGCTAGGAGCATGGCCTTGGCAAATTAGTCTTCAGGTTTATGCAATTGGTGTAGGATATGTCCATGTATGTGGTGGATCTTTAATTAATACAATCATAGTGTTGACAGCAGCCCACTGCATTAAAATATCAGAGTATGTACCTTTCCATTCTAATACTTTTTCTTCAATTGGGTGTAAAATCTACTGACCAAAGAAGTACTGATCAAATATATAATTATATATCAAAAATTGAGATTTAACATGCCTTTCCTAACTTACACAGAATTGAGTTTTGAAGCAGGTGTAGCTTCATACTACTTGTCAAGGATCTAATAAAGGAGAATATTTGTTAAGGATCACAAATATTCTAGGGAGGATTTTTTGGTGCTTTCAACAGATTTGTTTAATTATTTGCCTGAAGCTTTTTCATATTCAATCCTAGAGTAATAAAAGACTCATATTCAGAACTACCAGGACAAACTTAATTATTTTAATGATAAATAGTTGTGTAGAAGGATAACACAAGAGAAAAATATTTTAAGCGTCATAAGCCATTTTCACTTATTTTACTTATCTCTGCTTTACCATATATTATTATATCAATTTTTTAACATTTCTCTTTCCTCCAAATAACTCCTTTGCTATCATATGATTTAACCAATCAGTTTTAGATGGCTAATCCAATTTCTTTATTTAAAATGTCTGGTTTTCACTTCCTCTAGCAACTCTGCTGGACAGCACTGAAAGGAAGAAATCTGCTTGCTCAGGCCATGAGGTCATCAAGCAAACATCTTTGTTACATAGAAGCTAAACATGCCTTTGGGAAGCTGAATCACTAATGTTCCTCCTTCACTGTTACAAGTTAGAGATAGTAAATATGTACTAAGATTAGTAGTCTTTGTTAGTTTGATTCCTTTTGAATTTGTCCATTCTCTTTTTTAAATAATTTAAATCAGTGACTGTCACTTTCTGTTAAGTGATGACCTCCTCACAAGGAGGTATATGTATATGTCCCAACAGCTTGTACACCCACTCCAAGCAGTCTCTTCTTGCCTTCCCACCCTCTTGTATCTTCTCCTATAGTAGCCACAACCCTACTAGCCTTTGATTGTTGAAAATTAACAGGAAGTTATGAGGAGGTGCTCACTTAACAACCCAGAATATTCACCTCACAATGGCATTGGGGACTGTAAGTATTTCTGTCCAATGCAGTCACATTATGTTACAGTTTATGATCTCATCACTTAAGAATGGAAATTCTAGTTCCAATTTCCATTGTAATTTGAGTACTACTTGTATTATATTTCTGCTATTGTGTGGCTTACCATTCCTAGAAAACAAACCAACAGTGAAATCTGTTATCCTATCAACACATTTGTGATTATATTCTTAAAAATATTTTTGTCTAGCTATCCTTTTGTGCCTCCTATACCCTTTCCCCAAGACTACCTCAGTTTTCTTTTCTATTTACTCTCTCTAGCCTCACCCTTCCAATCTGTTTAGACTACACATGAACTGAGTTCATAGAGAATTAATTACACCTGCCAACAAGTCTACTCTAGGAGAGTGCTACACTGAGCTCCAGCTCCTCTCTTTGCTGCTAAATTTCTTCTTATGTCTAAATAATACTTTGCTGTTCTTTGTGTTTTGTCTTATTTCCCAACATGTTCAAACAACATCCAACATTTATGTTACAATTAGCTACCATCTTACGAGTCCCAAATGGTAAAGGATCTCATTGTATTCTCATAAAGAGTATCAGTTCTTTAAACATTACAGATGGTTCTCTAGTAATTCTTCATGAAATATTTATGGTTATTATTTAATTTGTTTTTTGTTTATCTTTGAGAGCCTAGAAACAATTTATCTTCCTTGTTGAAATATTTGAGAGGAGCCCCCCTTTATATCTTATTCCTCTTTTTAATAATGGCAGGGCTAGTATCTTGAAATATAATACTTGATTTCCATTTCAGTTTATCTTTCTTAGTCCATGAGTTTCTTGCTGAATTTTTTTTTCCACCTGATTTTTTTTACAAATATATTATCTCTTGGCTTTTGCAGTTGATTGAACCTAAGAGAAGAGTCTCTATTGACATATTGCATATGAAAGCTTTAAATCTGATCATTTAAGTTTTAAATATTCAGTTAAATTCGCCCTTTCTGCATTTCCTCTGATTCCTATTAATTCTCAGAAAACATCATCTGTTATAATTCTCTATGAGTCAAATCTAGTTTAGTGTCAGTAACATTTTCTGGACTTTTCCAATAACTAAACTCCTTTTCCATAATGACAGCCTATAGTTTGCTAGATATTTGGGAGTTTTCAAAACTTGAGAAGACAAATCTTTTAGTTGTTTATTAATTTTTTCAAACATACTTTGCAAATCCTTTCAAATCTAAATGTTTCATTTATCCATTTTTTGTTTAAGTTGCTTAATTGTATTTCCTATTAAATCATCCTCAAAGTTTCTTGAGCATCACTTAGCCTTCAGACCATTGGCAGGGATTTTTCATTCTCTGTTATCTCTGTTTTACTGCCAGAGTGGGATGTCGTTTGAGTCTCCTTAATAATCTATGTAAGACTTAATTCTTTGCCATTTCAGGGATTACCTTTCTTAGACAACTTTTTACTGTTAATATGGCCAAAGCCAGATATTAATAAAACATAAATGACAAAAATTATCAAGAAAGCTGGGCTGTGAGAAAAGCAATAGACTCGCCATGCTGTCTTCTCCACTCCCCCGCCATTGTTTACCAAATCGGATGGATGGATTGATATATGCCTACATACGTACATTTTTCAACTAGCTGAAGGATGCAAGGATAACACTGTTTTAGCATTGGAGAATCGTAGAGTTGGAAGGACTTTGGGGGTCACCTAAACCAAGCCCCCAATCAGTGCAAAAGCCACTACAGACCATCTTTGGTGGATAATCATCTGGCTTCTGTTTGAAGATCTCTTAAAAAAGAGATCTTTTCCCTGCTAACCTCAGCTTATCTTTCTTCTGGGTACCCAAGCATCTTTCAAACTACATTTTGGTGCAGCCAACTTTATTAAAATAGACTTCAAAGACACTTTTGATCTTAAAAATGTATTACAGGTTGTTCTTTATTTTGCAACATATCAGCCTATAATTAAACATTTAAAATATCAGAAAGGACACTATTTTGGGAACTAGCATTACTTGTAAAATACCTGTGACACTTACAGAAACATTCTGGTCTAGGGCTGTATTAATGATTTGATTAGTTTCAATACAGAAACTGAACAAAATTGAAACTTTACTATAGTAAAATACAGATCATTTTAAGAAGTTTGTAAGAATATATCGGTTTCTTACCGCCACCTGGCTTGTTCCGCGGCCTCATGGCAGCGGCATTGCACAGGAGGCAGGAAACAACTGGTTTCGGTGTGGCGCGGCTATTTGCCGCCTCGCATATTGCGCCCAGTGCCACTGAAATGGGGCTCGACTGAAAGCGGCTGTGGAACAAGTGGGGCAGGTTCCCCCCTCACCGGCCCATTCAGCTACAGCTTTGGCTCTGTAGGCAGAGCTGCGAAGTTCTCTAACAGAGAAAAGAACTTCGCAGCTCTGCTTACAGAGCCACCAAAGCAGCAGGTGGATCACCGGAGGCTCAGGAGAGAGGATGCTGAAGTGGGCGGTCGGACCATTGGCAAGAGCAACACGATTGAGCAGAAAGCGGCCTCAGAACAAGTGGGGCAGGTAAGGAAAGAAACCCTCGCTCCCCCCAGAAATTGCCTTTCTTTCTTTCCTTACCTGACTCCCAGCCCTGTGTTGTTTCGCAATCTGCTGCTGCCGCTTGCAAGGACGAAGTTTTTTGGGGGAGGGAAAGGTCAATCAATTTCAACTTCTCGTGAAAGATCGCGAAGTTGGAATTGATTGACCTTTCCCCCCCCAAAAAAATCTTCGTTTCCTTGTACACTTCAGCACCCTCGCTCCCTGAGCCTCCGGTGCTCCACCTGCTGCTTTGGTCGGCCTGCCAGCCCCCACCTTAATGCCCTGCCCACCGCTGCCTAGCATGGCCGTCCTGGGGCTGCAGGGGCTGGCCTGGCATGGGAAGGGCACGCGCCCCACCCTCCTGCCACCATGCAGGGTAAGGTTGCTGCACCCGCACCCGCCCAGATGCCCTCGCCTCCCCCAAGCGTTTTTTTACTAACGTACCTCAGCTGCATTCTGTTTCTCCATTCGCTTTTCAGCCTTTGCTTGAGAAGTTAGAAAGTCTGATGAAACTTTTTTTTTACCAATAGTCCCACAAACGTGGCGAAGGCTGAGAAGCGAATGGAGAAACGGAATGCAGCTGAAAGGCAGGTTAGTAAAAAAAACGCTTGGGGGAGGCGAAGGCATCTGGCCGGGGGGCGGGCCTGGCAACCTTACCCTGTGCGGATTCGGCAGGTGTCTGGCGGGGAGGGAAGCAACTGGTATACCACCATGCTAGCGTCGCCACATTGCTTCTCTACCCCATGCACAGGCCCTGCCCCACCCCTCGCATGGAGCGCCCTGCTCCCGCCGCTCCCCCCACCCCCACGTGGCACCTTTCCAGCTCCGACACATCACTTCCTCCACCACTGTGTAGGACTAAAAATAAAGTTCGGTCAATAAATTCCAACTTTGCAAGATCTTTTTTTTTTCCTGCAAGAAGTTGAAATTGATTGATTGAACTTTTTTTTTTGCACATGGCGGCGGAGGCCTAAAGTGAAAAGGTTTTATAAAACCCAGCTTAAAAAGCCACTTGCCTGGGGAGATTTTGATGCAGGTTGCTCATGGACGGGACAAGGCCTTGGACTGGGGCATTGGCGCATGTGACCACAGACAGAGCTCTGCGTGCCACCTGTGACGCGTGCCATAGGTTCGCCACCACGGCACTAGAGGTTGGATCCATGGCTCAACCCCATCTGTTGGAGAGTTTCTCTGACATACCCATGAATAGCAAATTAGTGTCCATTAACTTCATACCTATGTAGGAAGTTCTTTTGAATTTTTGGGAAATAAGGTAAAAGGAAAAGAAAAGAGAG